GAAAAGACACAGAACATTAAGGAAACAGCAGTTGGTTTGGTATAAATTTTTTTTTTTTTTTTGTCTTTTTCGTGACTGGTAAGGGGATCACAACCCTTGCTGTGGTGTCGCCCGCACTGCGCTCAGCCAATGAGCGCACCGGCCAGTCCTATATAGGATCCGAACCCGTGGCAGGAGCGTAGCTGCACTCCCAGCACCGCACTCTCCCGAGTGCGCCACAGGGCTGGCCCCAACAACACAGCACTCTTCAACTCCAAGCTCTTGATTCAGTTTAATACTCATGCAATGTATTATTTTTATATTTTTTATATTGAGATTGCTGGATAATTATTAGCTGTAAAAACTGAAGACACCTGCGACTTTTATAATCTATTCATATAATTAAGTATAAGCTCTTTTGAATAAAGTGAATTTTTCACTTCTTTTTTATTAGATTATCATTGAAGTGACGGAAATGTTGCATAATGCCAGTTTACTAATCGATGACATCGAAGACAACTCAAAACTCCGACGTGGCTTTCCAGTGGCACACAGCATCTATGGAATTCCATCTGTCATCAATTCTGCCAATTATGTATATTTCCTTGGCTTAGAAAAAGTCTTAACCCTTGATCACCCAGAGGCAGTGAAGCTCTTTACCCGCCAGCTTTTGGAACTCCATCAGGGACAAGGCCTAGATATTTACTGGAGGGATAATTACACGTGTCCCACTGAAGAAGAATATAAAGCTATGGTACTGCAGAAGACAGGCGGTCTGTTTGGGTTAGCAGTAGGTCTCATGCAGTTGTTCTCTGATTACAGACAAGATTTAAAGCCATTGCTTAACACACTTGGGCTCTTTTTCCAGATTAGAGATGATTATGCCAATCTGCACTCCAAAGAATATAGTGAAAACAAAAGCTTTTGTGAAGATCTAACAGAGGGAAAGTTCTCGTTTCCTACTATTCATGCTATTTGGTCAAGGCCTGAAAGCACCCAGGTGCAGAATATCTTACGCCAGAGAACAGAGAACATAGATATTAAAAAATACTGTGTACATTACCTCAGGGATGTAGGTTCTTTTGAATATACGCGGAATACTCTTAAAGAGCTTGAATCTAAAGCCTATAAACAAATTGATGCATGTGGTGGGAACCCTGAGCTAGTAGGTCTAGTGAAGCACTTAAGTAAGATGTTCAAAGAAGAAAATGAATGATGTTAAGATGTTCTTGATAACTTATTTTAGTTTTGTGGGGGTTTTTTTGTTTTTTTTTTTTTTTTTTTTTGGACCAAACTGTTAGTCTCTAAAAACTGAGTAAATAGGGGTGATGTAAGTGAGATTGTTTCAATTTAGAAACCCTTCTGTACAGGTAATCATCACAGTAGAAAAAGGAATCTAAAGAAATGTCAGAAATTGCTGTGGCAGGACATTGTGACCAGCTCTGCCCTCCACGAATGTTCTCTTCTGTCAATAAAAAAGACTAGCTTCCAGGAATTTTTATCCTTACATTTCCTAACTGTACTATATGGACAGTTCCCAATTCATCTCCATTTCCAAGCCAGTGACTACTTCAGATCAGAGTCCAAAGACCACAGAACTCCAAATTGTTCCTGAATGCTGCTACTAAATATCCCAATATCCTCCCTGGAAACCCCTTTACTAAAGTCTTCTATGAAACGGCTGATAGTGATACACAGTAAGCACTCTGGTCCTTTTCTTGCCGTCTTCCTTCTTTCCTTCCCTTCTGCTCTGCATATTTTGCTTCTTAACCAAGGAGTCTCTACTTAACAAAGTTCACATGCTAGTCCAAGTTCTTTTTTTACCCTTGCATTGTAATGTGTGCCCATAACTGATTCAATATCTGGGTACCACATTGTAGGGAAGGAAAGAAGAGAGTATGGTGTAAGTGTTGTAGGGGGAGCCTTTGAACCTGGTGATGTTTCTGCATCATTGGTACTAAAATCTTAAAAAGGCTGTTTGCTTACCTCAAGTACAAAAGCGAGGAAAATGCCCTTGTCCTAACTGCCCACATCACTAGCCCATGGAAGTGGAACAGGCGTCTTTAATTTCTATGATTAAAGGAAATAAAAGCGTTAACCTGGGGGGGGGGGGGGCCTGACTGAAAGGTAACCAAAGGCTGTGCTATGAAGCACTAATTAGCTGTTTAGTGCCTTAACCCCAACCTGGTTGTCCCTTTTGTGTAATTTCCAGACCCAAGCCACCTGGAGCCATCTGTGGCCCAAGAGATAGAAAAAAAGAGAGACCTTGATTCTAGCATTGAAGTGTTTTTGACATCCCAAAGGGAAAGTTTGTTTCCCTTAGAAATGATACATTTTGCTTAATTGTTTCTGTAGTAGGTTACCTAGGCTGTAATCACCATTCATTTGTATGAGAAATTCTCACCCAGGTGTTCACCCTAAATCTGTTTGAAAAGTTGGGTGCTGCTTTTGCTAACATTTAAAATAATTTGAATCTTCCACTTTAACAATGAAAACCTTAAAATCATGGGTATTTGTGGTACAGTGTGGAAATTTGAACTTCATGTCTATGAATCCATACTTTAAAAAAAAATTATTTTTAAAAATCTAATGCTGTCTTTTTAATAAAGACAGATTATTTAGCTTTAATCTAAATCTACTTAAGTAGATTTATTCCTTGTCTAACCAAATTAATTTGGCTTGGTGTACTCTTCATGATTCTTTTGTCATTTTTATATTTGTCAATGACATGTTTGGCATTTGAATTGGGGACTTTTAACAGAAAGTCATTTTATCTATTAAATAATCAAAACTTTGTTCTTTTCAATTGATTTGTAGTCACAGCTGTTAAATACAGAAGGCCAGAACATAACAGGTAGTTTAAATCTAATAAAATGAATTAATTCATCTACTTAGGCTTATGCCACAGTCTTTTTTTTTTTAACTGCATAAAGGAGAATCTTACGACAACCCAAGAAAGAGTTGGATTTTGCCATTTAGAAGATGTGTACTCTTAAAACATTTAAAAAACATCTTGTAGTCTGTGCAGCTTCTAAAAACAATTTAATTTGTGTTTATTTGCCAAAGGCCCATTACGTTGCCATAAATCACTTTCCAGACCTCGGCAAGATCTTAAATCTTTCAGCTTGTCCCTATTCCACTCTGTTGACTTTCTCCTACTTCCATCCCTACCTGACCTATCACTATAGTCCTTCACTTCGGGGAGACTTTCAAGAACATTCATTCTCAGGTCGCTTTCCTCCTCTCCTTGGCCCCTCATGCTGCCAGTTCCCAGTCCTGGGTGAGTCCATCCATCCACATTCTCTGCTTCTCCCGTGTTGCTGAATGCTGCTGGAGAGCGTCTTCAAACCACTGCTATAGCCACTGCAAGTTATGTATTACAACCTCAGTAACCCTTTCCTTTTGCATCTAATCTGCCTTTCCTAATGGAGATTCCATTTTTACCAATCTAATATCCCCTACTCTCCTCTTCCACTCTTCTCACATCAAATGTAAACGCTTAACTTTCCTCCCCTCTACTTCAAGTCTGTCTTCAAATAGTCTGCCTTTAATTTCAAGAAAAGTTGTTTATCCTCCTGCCTTAATGCCAAATGAGCTCTCATTTCTTGATTCCCTCTTCTTCAACAGGGTACTTCAAAGGTTCCTGGAAAAATAGAATTGAACAGTAATCCAAGTCTTTCCATGAACTTTTAGAAGTACCTGCGTATCTCAAGGGCCTTATGCTGTCTCATATCCTCAAGATCTAGTTATGGGCTCTTTTTTTTTTAATCAGCGTGCTAAAAGGAAGGAAAAGGGAAAGGAAGTGTATGTTTATGGAGTACTTATCAGGTACTAGATGTTTTATATATTTTCTTCAAGCATTTACTGAGCAGTGCCAGGACCTTGAATGCAGATCAAAGCACTTGGCTCTTCTCTTCAAACTGCCTCCCATTCTTTATGCTTTTAAGTTTGGCCAGCTGCCCAAAAAAAGTTTGGAAACGGCCGGCCCGTGGCTCACTCGGGACAGTGTGGTGCTGATAACACCAAGGACACGGGTTCGGATCCCATATAGGGATGGCCGGTTCGCTCACTCGCTGAGCGTGGTGCTGACAACACCAAGTCAAGGATTAAGGTCCCCTTACCAGTCATCGAAAAAAAAAAGTTTGGAAACGGCCGGCCCGTGGCTCACTCGGGACAGTGTGGTGCTGATAACACCAAGGACACGGGTTCGGATCCCATATAGGGATGGCCGGTTCGCTCACTCGCTGAGCGTGGTGCTGACAACACCAAGTCAAGGATTAAGGTCCCCTTACCAGTCATCGAAAAAAAAAAGTTTGGAAGCACTCTTATTGTAATAACTGGCAGTTTGCTTCCTATAATCTCTCCCTACTCCAATCCATCCTTCTCACGATTATGCCATAATGGCTGATATTTTATGTTTGAGATGCAGAAAAAGGCTTACGGTAATGGATCCAACAATAATGTGAATTCATATATAATGCAACTGGCATTTGGCTCCTCAAACCCCCACACTGCCCTTGGCTAACTACAGACTCGCTCTGGTCATTTAATTCATCTTGTCATATTTATCTTATTGAATATATTGGACCTTACAGTGTTATGGCATAGTTCTACTGTACTCTGTACTGGTTGGTAAAATAGTAAGTATAATAAGCAATAATACTAGTAATGCAAATTTCAGTATTAACGCAGTAGTTCAAGTTAATTGTGTGTGATGTTTCATGACCATTGATTGATGGATATCCTGTCAGGTATCTGGGAAACATTTGCCACTTCATGTACATTCTTTATAAAGCACTCTGTGCTTTAGGAGAATGGCCAATTTGTTATCTTAGAATTAGATTTATCACTGTACATGAAGAAAAAGAGTACATCCAAAGGTCTCAAAGCTGCCATAATGAATAATGGAAGGTATTTGGACCCAATGGGTGAGGAAGTATTAATGGTGAGCTGTAAAAGTAGTTTGTAAATCTTATCAAAAGTCACATAATAGAAGTTGTAAAATGGAATTAAGCATTTGAAGAGTAAAAAAGTTTTAAAGAGATTTAGCTTTAATAAATGATATTCTAACAGACGTCAATACTTTATAAGAAATGGTGTATTTATTACAGCTGACAGATTAAGTCAATTAACCGTAAAGAATTGGACATGTAAAACTGAGTTATGGAAATTGAAAATGAAGCAGAACATTACTGAAACAAATTATGATATGTCATTTGAAACAAAACGAAATAGCAATTTAAAGAGGCTAATAGATTTTCTAATCAGTTATGAAAATGCATCTGTGGTTTGATAAAAGTGAAAGTAATTTTTGTTTGTTCAATTTATTGAATCCTGAAACTTGGCCAATTAAGGCTTGAAGAGCTCTATGGATTAAAGGTGGACAAAAAATAAATAAACTTATAGCACTTAATAAACGAATTAGCACTAAAGATAAAATATATGAAATTTCAAGAAGTATTATAATAATTAGAAAAAAATCTAAGGGCTGGCTGGTTAACTTGGTTAGAGCACAGTGTTATAACACCAAGGTCAAGGGTTCAGATCTCTGCACCAGCCAGCAGCAAAAAAAAAAGAAAAAAAATCTGAATATAAATTCTGATAGTTCAGAGGAAGCCAAAAGAGAATTCAGCGCCATGAAGAATGTCAATATTGAGAGAAATTCTAAATTTATTGAGACTACAAGTCACCTATGCCTGTCAATTTAGTGAGGAAGTTGGAAGAACGTGATGCAGGTTACTGTCACATCATGGCTCAGATAGGAATGTCATTTAGCTAGCAACTGCTCCAGCGAACCAAAGATAACACCAATAATTTCCTTCTGGCTTGGGATATCATCATAGCGTATATGGATAATTAATGTCACCTAATTTATTTTCTTGAATCTGTTCTTTTTTCAGCCCACCTTGCACACACTGCCAGGTTAATTTTAGTTATTTGCTGTGATGTTATATACCTGTGTCCAAAAACTCTTTCCTGGGCTGGCCAGTGCCTCAGAGCAAAGTGCTGATAACACCAAGGTCCAGGGTTCACCCTTTCCTTACAGGCCACTTCAGCTTCATAGTCAAAGCTCTATCGTTTGTCTAAATAGTACCTGCGGTTCTAGTTCTCTGGTTCTTGTTCTTTGTTGGATCTTTGTCTTGATCCTGAACCTGGTTCTCCAGCCCTCCTGTCATGCTACGAGCTTTCTAGTATCCTTCCAGTAAACCCCCTTTGTTCTTAAATTACCAGATCTCCAAGCTATATGAAGACAAAAACAAAAAAACACAAGGTTCTATGAGAGATTGCATACTGTTAGCATTTGTGAAAAAGAAAATAAAAATATTTGCAAAAAATATCTTTAGAGGTAGAAACTGGAGGACAGACAGAATAGGAGCAGCAAGAGACTTCACTGTATACTCATTTATTACTTTTGAATTGAAGCATGTGAATGTATTATCCAATATTGAATTTTTAAAAATTATAAAAGCAACGATAAATTAGAAATATTAATAA